TCTCACATGCTACAGAAAATGTCTTTCCTTTGCATTTACCATAAAAGGTACCGTATATTTCGGCCCATAAGGCGCACTATCAATGAACGGGAATATTACACACATAAGGCGCACCGGGTTATAAGGTGCATTAAGCGAAACAAAACAGTCAGCGAAACAATTAAGCGGAACAATCAAGCATGTCCGGATCCCTCTCGTCATTATCCGAGTCAGTCTCATTGATGTTACTCAGCTGTTCAGTGATGATTTCGGCCTTCGTGAAACATTTGAGACTGATACTTAGCCCAGGCATCCACGATCCATTGGCAGATAGTGGCGTAACTTTTCCGGCATTGCCTCCCTTTCTTGGTGATTGTGTGTTTGCCTTCTGTCATCCAATGCTCCCACGCAGCTCGCAATTTAACTTTGAACGCCCTGTTAACACCAATATTTAGCGGTTGGAATTCTTTGGTTAATCTACCCGGAATGATGGCAAACCCCGAATTTGTTTGCTTCACTTGGGTTTTGACAATATCGGCGAGATGGGCGCGCATGGAGTCGCAGATCAATAGGGACGGAGATTTGTGGAAAAGGTAGTGACCTAAGTTGGACACTGGAGGACGCTGTTGTTGTTCGCCCCTCCAGAGTCAGGTAGTCACTATTTTTATTCTGGATGGTCACCGTATTGTTGTTTTGACGCTGTTCCGTGCGGAAGCGCGGATGTTGTTAAGCAGAGAGAGTGTGTGTGTGTGTGTTTTTCCTGTCTCGATAAAAAAAGGAGAAATAAAAAGAGTTCTTGACCACGAAAAAATCGACAGCCAATGCGTCCGAGTCGTCCTGCATTGCACCATACATACGACAATACAAAAACACAACTCAGAGTCTCCGGGTGTTGGGAGGCACGACGCGACGTTGCACAGATTTGGGTTATACAACTGTGGCGGGGGGAAGTTACGTGGCTATTATTAAGGAGGAAAAAGCTCGACAACGCCACCCTGGGAATTTCACCCAGGGAATTGCTCAAACCCAAGGCACAAAGGTTCGTGGTTACTGGAGGGCAAGAGACGTGGTTCAAAGTTTGAAAATACAAGTTTTATTCAACATTTGTTTTTAAAAAACATATACTCCATAAAACTCATTCACATAATAAAATAAAAACCTAATCAGGGCTGAGGCCGAAGTGGATGGACAAGGGCTAGTGCAAGGGCAGGATCCACCAAAATAATGCAAAAATAACTTAAGTCCCCAGGCACATGTGGCAAACACACCCTCAGTGAAGAAACCCACTCCCAGGGACACAGCAAGATACGACGGGAGGACACCACCACCAGGTCACCAGCACCGCCACCACCGGCCTACAGCAACTGAAGAGGAAAAAGACTAGCACATTAGTGGGGTAGTCCCCAATAAAAGAAAAAAAATGCTTATGCATAGGACCGCGGTGTACGGCCAGTCCTGCACAATGTGTATCTTGGAAGTTGTGAAAACACTGACGGCCGCAGAAGAACAGATATACGGCAATACAGTGAAAACAGCACAAAATAACACCAAACAAAGAAGCACAAAATAACAACAAACAAAGCAGCAGCGGTCCAATGAGGTGGTTACAACACCTAGTCAAAGAAAACACTATTAGCATGTGCTAGATGCACTAAGGTTGATGCAGTGGCACGTAACAATGTGCATACCTTCTCAGAACACACACACTCACGAGGAGGAAGGATTGGACTCCAGCCGCCAGCATTCACCTGTGACCAGACCAGCATTAGCCACCTAGCAGCAGCAAGCACAACGCCGAGAGAAACAACACTTACCACCGGCCAACGACCACAGCAGCACACACGGAGCACGGAGCAGCACACAAACAGTCGTCCTACAACAACAATTACAAATACCTTAAGTATAAGAACAAACAAAACGACGAGCGAGGTGAAGCAGCGGGCGGCCATGCCTGTCGGCACACAACCTCTGACCTGGAAGTAACACGGGTAACGATGGGAGC